ATCTTTTCGGTACCACGTGAACATGTACAACAATTTTATCGGAGTTCATCTTTCAAACTGTAAAATCAATAGTTGTGGACGTGCTTCCCCTCCGAAAACCTAGACAAAGGCGTGCAGGAATGCAGTGGTTTCGGACGAATCTCAAGGTCAGCCTTACTTCCATTTGTTTGTTTGTTGTTTGCCCAGACACGCGCAGAACAGCCAAAACACAAACTGTTGGTTGCATAGTGACTCTCGCTCCCGTTCGACACGGTGGAGTTGTGCAAAACAGCTGTGAAACAGTTCAGAACGCACAAAAATGGATCTGGACCTTGTGTGGATTATTTGGATGTTAGCTCTGCACAACGCACATGGGTCATTTTTGGTGAGTTTTCGAAAACATCCATGTCTGCGATTGATTGTTGACGTAAACAGAAAACCCTGAAAGCAACTAGAATCACCGAATGGCAAAATAGACTCATTTCGCTGAATCTCTTGTTTACGAGGTTCTTAAACTGAATGTGCAGTCTCATTTAGAACGATATTCAAAATATCCACTCACAAAGTTGATGAAAAGAACTCTACTACTTTCATAAAGGAAACTACTCACAAGGTTGCTGAAAACTCTTCGACAGCCCACGACCGGTTTCGCCCTTCTTGGGGCTCATCAGGTGGGCGTAGTCCCCGAGTTTCCGTCAACCTTGAACCCATATTCGACTGTTTTCGAGAAATGCACTCATTTGCAAATCAATTTGGTTTTCATGAGAGACTCGTCTGAATCAAGGTTGCCGAGGGATTTTCAGCAACTTTGTGAGTAGTGCCAACTGAAGCATGTGGCCCTATGTGTAGCACATTCAGTTGAAGAATATCATAAATGAGGTCCTAAGCTGAGTCCCCCGTGAAAACCAAATTGATTGAGCGTCGTTTTCGGCATTCTACTATTTGTTTCGTCCCCTGTCTGGAGGTTCCTCAGGTCGGCCTAATTTTCCAATCTTCAGCAGCGTTATCTCGTACTAAATTGTACAAGGTATCTTGGGATAAACACTCGCACCAACGGCGCACTGAGTATGTCTCCTCGAATGGTGACGAAACGTTTCCAAATCAATTGCCTAGGTCTGTGAACAGATCAACAGTCACCTGATCAATTATCAAATAAAGACTAATTTCCAAATTAGATTACCCTTGACGAGAGAAGAAGGAACACAAATTCTACAATCCTGCAACCATCTACGACTGTTGTTTGTTAAGACTAACGATGATATTATCGTTTAACGTCGCCGCTGAAAGTGGCATTCCATCCGAAAAGAGTGGGAGTATGTCCAAATGCCTTCTAACCGTACCGATCTACGTACCGGTGCCACCAAATTTTTCCTCTGCATCCCGTTAGTTATATAGTCCCTTCAACTTCGCTATTTAGTTTTGTGTATTCTTTTGCTACTCTTTGAATTATGGCTGCATAAGTTCAACCTGAACTTTGTTGAAAGTTTTGTTACCGGATGAGACTGTCTATAGGTCGTTCCAATCGCAGTTAGAACCCCCGGTTCTGTTGGATCAACATGATGGGTGGAATCTGGGTAGCCAATGAGAACTAATTCTAGGGTTTTCTGTAATACTACCTGTGTAGTAGCTGGTTCGGTGTGTCAGAGAGCTTGCGCGTGTGCGTGTCCGTTCGTCGTTCCACCATCGATCTGGCTTGTGACTTGAGTGGCTGATTGGGTGCGTGACCGATCGATTTGCTCGCGTGAGCGTTGACTGGACATGTGACTCAGTCGTTTGCTGACCAGCCACGAAGGCGGATCATTTGGCCGCGTTTACACTATACACCCCTGTCATTACTTACGTGTTCTCTTAGTTACTGTGAGTTACAATACCACTGATTGGACGATTTCCTCATTCGTGTGTGTGTGTGTGTGTGTGTGTGTGTTGATACGGTTGCGCTGAGGATCTCGACGAGTTGCAATAAACCTACGAACCTCAGCAGAATCAACGTGAACGGTGTGCATGTCGATTCAGAAATCATTGCAAAAGATCGCTAGATTACAATCATATAACTTCTTGTTTTTGATGCCTACTAGTATTTAGAAGCCAAGTGTTTCTTCGGACATCCAGTTCAGTGACAGGACTGTTGACAAGGTAACTCAATGTGAAACCAGAAAGCAGGCCTGGAACACTAAGATGCTCGTCTTGGCGCCCATCGTGCAGGGCTTTTACGTCCAGTTGTATACTTTTTGATTCGAAACCCCGAAACACGATGGAGAGCACATTCAGAGTGAAATTTCTTAATCGGAACATTTCTTGCAAGCTTTCTGGTTGAGGGTTTATTCCGCGGTGAATATCATTCCGACGGATCATCTACCGGCGGAGCATACTATTTATTGGGTTTTTGAAAACTTCTCGACAGCAGTGCACATCTCATGAAATTCTGGAGAGTCTCGAACCCGCGAACTCCTGGCTAGTAGTTGGAACCTTAAAAGTTCGGCCACGAATTGCCATTATGTTTGTCGCTTTCGAACTTGAGATAAGGCACGCGCGTTAGCTGAAGCCTAGAACACCGTTTACAGAATAATGAAAGGCCCATTCTTAAGATAGGAGAGGGTTAAGTCGTTTCGGATGAGGCGTGGGAATGCATTAGTGTTATAGTTTTGACAAAAATCGAAAAAAGGTATACCTAGGTCACTTGACAGGCTATCCGTCACGGGTGCAAGGTGATGGGAGAGTTGTTTGTAGCTTCTTCTATTTTATCAAAAGCTATATAGTTGTTTAAATGATCGAAACAGCCAAAACAAGTGTCCCACGCTTTCAGTTCTCTTGACAGCTCTCTCATTACTTCAACTTATCGATCCGTAAACAGACAGTCAAGCAAGATATGGGGAAGTATGTTCTCATCATTTCAACTTCGTCAGGTTTCAAATTTAGAGGCGGAAGTCGCCGGTAGATTGAATGCAACGAGAAGCGGATATTGCTCGGATGCCCTACGGTAATCCGACTAGCTAAGCATGCATGGACAGTTATGCATCATACACGGTACGGGGTCAGCAACCACTATGTGCGGTTCACAATAAACCATTTTATGTAAAGATTGTCCAAAAATGCTTTGGTGTTCCGATCCAGACACATTCCCGATATTGTTAGAAATATTGGGCGCGATGTGTTGTGTAGTGTGGAAACTTCTAAAGATAAGATATAAGAAATAAGCTATAAACAAAATGCATAGATAATCACATAAACGGAGCAGACACCCACACGCGCTCGTCACACCTAGCTTTCAACTGATCTCAGGGACACACCAATCAGAAGATCGTAGAAACCCTTGAGAAAGATGACCCAGAGCAACCCAAACGTCAGATCACAGCATCCTATGCCACTACGCTGAGTTACGCTTTACCTGCGCATTTTTCAACTAATTTGTGAAGTCACTGCAACGTTGAATCTTAACTTACGGTCCGCGATTCCGGCCGTGATAGCTCAGCAGGGAGAGCGTTAGACTGAAGATCTAAATGTCCCCGGTTCGATCCCGGGTCGCGGCATCCCCGTTTTCTCGAAGTGAACTTAAAATGGTGCCAATCGTATGCCTGCCGATATTTTCTGATCATCCACATAGAAGCTGTTTGAACAGGGATCCTTACAGCCTAATTAGCAACCAACAATCTTGATTTGCCAGCCTCTCTGCACCTAATTTTCTCCAATTATTCCTCACTACTCGTAAATAGCAAATAGGTAACACTTCCATGGTCTCCGAAGCATCCCTATTATGCAGTAATTCGGACCGGTCATCGTAGAAGCAGCCACAATGACCGATGAAAAAGAAGCTTGCTAATGAAAGGCCTGCAGGTGACGATGATGGTGATGTATAAAAACAGAAGGTCTCCAAAACCAGAATAAAGTAGCACTGGCACCCTCTCCGAGCTTTCTGCCACCTAATGTTCCACTGGGACTCAAAATGGGCAAATCGCAATGAATACTCTCAGGAAATTGGCATGAACTTGGTTTTGACGGCTGATGCTATGTCGACAGGCGACTCAACTGAATCCAATTGTATCTCCTGTTCATAATGGTCCACTTTTACGACGCCAACCTTCTGAGCCCCAACAAGAGTTTTCAGCAACCTTATGAGTACTGTGCTCCATCTAGACAATGCACTGCGATATCTCGAGTACAATAAGCCGGCTTTTGGAACCTTATGAGTATATTTCATATGATATGGTATTTCATATGATATTTCATGCTGTGAATCACAGGTTTCAGGTATCAGATTCGAAAAATCTGGACTTATATATAAGATCGTATTTAACAAACCTGTTGTCACTGCAAGCTGTTGAAAAGTACCATTTGGTGACAAAACTTGACTTTATACAGTGAGGTAGTTTGGAGTGATCAATTTAACCATATAAAGTGCAAGCGAAGGTGCCGTGTTTCGGAAATCTTACACCAGCTACCTAGCAATGAAGTTGCTGACCCCATTGAGTTACGAATGATCGTACAACTATGCTAGCGATCTACATGTGCAGACCGATGCGATGTGGTCTGCACGCTATTTATCCCGGCGAAGTGCTAGTCCTTTCAATCGCCTGTTCAAATTACGAGACGGCACTGACGAAAAGTTCGGCTTCCCTAGCGCTTATTAAAGGGCACCCAGAAGTCCGCCATTCCATTGCTATCGGAGCCGAACTCTGGTCATTCAGGTACTAGTTGTCACTAGTTTCATCGAATGTAAATCGCAGCAGTTCATTTCATCCAAATGATCACACGGTGTCCGTTGTTCCTTTATCCTGTTAGTTAATGCACAGTGATCCTCTGAACAAAAAGCCTCTCGGAAACAGTGCATCCGCTCTTGACGGCAAAAAGATACCCATGCAAGTACTACCTCCAAACCTTCCAGAACGATTCTACACCGAGTTCGAGATAATTTACACCCCTCGCGATGATCCTGGCATGCCGCTTCCTCCATGGCCAGCTGGTCATCCGCCAGCTCTACCCTATGCAATCGGTCGTGGAAAGACGTGGTACGCAGCCGATCTGGGCATTGCCATCGAATGGTACACGGACTATTGTGTGCCCATCTTTGAACCAAACAGCTACTTCCCTTGTGTGTTGTTCAATTACAACGGAACGGCGTACTTCATTTCACCGAAGTACACAGGCTACGGTCCTTGTTGTGTCTATCGGCGCCACTGGACTCCACCGCATCGCGACTTTATGCAGCAGTACGCACGGTATTACAATGGTTCCACTACAAAGTTTGGAGATGGGGTTTTGGAGCAGACAGTTGACTGGTGGATTATCCCACAGCCGGAAGATGCAGGAAAGAAGCGTGGTTCCGATCATCCTGTGTTTGGTGGATACGGGTGGGCACGTGAAGCACTACCGAGGTGAGTGAGTTGACCCGGTCTGTTTGGTGATTCAGTTTAAACCAATCATGTTGGAAGTCCTGTGAATAATAGCGAAATACATTAACACGCATACCAATTGGGTTTTGACGGGAGACTCACTTGAAACCCAGCGGAATCTCTCGTTTATGATTCTCTTATGCAACTGAATGTGCTGTAATTATTTTGTAGAAGTGGATGGCGTCAGTTGTTATTTTTAAAAATATTGCAATCTACCAACCGAGTGGACTTGGGTCAGAACTAAGAAGCGTCTAGTGGATTTGGACTATGCGGATAGTTTGCTCTGCTGGCTAAAAATTCCTTGATGAACCCTCTGTTTTGGTCCGAATTCGCATCCAGTTTCGTCTCAATAAATTTGTTTTCTGATTAATTTTTAAAGCAAGTAACTTGAATTTTGGGTTGCTCGACGCGTTCACTGTGCCCTTTGGGGTGGAAATAACGTTTTTGTCCAGCAGGCTAAAGCAACACTGTTCACCTCTGGTTGCAGGAACCTGTCCACTCGAAAACCTCAATGTAATATGTATAGACCGACAACGGGGATGTTTTCGATACAGAAGTTTGAGTCACGCGTAGGTTCGGTGATTCCGAATAGCGAAAGTAACGATTCGGTTTGAAAGTCTACCGTACTATTACACAAAGGTGAGTAAAATCATAGTACAAACCTCAATTGTTCGCGTTCGTAGCGCCAACAAATGCGCAGGTCGGCCACTGACCGGTCCAGTGTCAAGATCCGCAAACCAGACAATGGTGAGCGGAATATTGGTTTATGGCGTGAGTTGCGGTCGTCCCTTCCGTGGCCAGTTTCGTGATTGTGATCAGTGGTGTAATCGCATCGAAAGCATGAGGGAACGAGTCACAACAGGCCCAGCGGACGGAGCACGAGCACGCATGGGTAAGTGCTATATCCTGCTGATTAACCAATCTGTCATCATCATCATTATCAGCTGTACTAACCGCGTACTTGTCTCACAGTGGTTGTAGCTGCCACAGCTTCGTTCACCGATGATTCGGGGAGGTGGGGTAGGTAGCTTCCAATTTGTTATATCGGCTGATTCGCCAATCTGTTGTATCTTACTGCTGACTCCGCTCCAGGGCCTAGTGCCGGAAAAAGACTCACCGAAGGGAACACAACAGCTTTATTCCGTACAAGCGAGTGCGTCAAGCTATTTTATTGGAGGGACACCGTCTGAACTTGGTCCAAAGCTGACTCACACTGTCGGGCCTTGATACAAGACTGTGGCGCGCTGCATATTGAGGGGGAGGGGTGTCTGACCTTGATTCAATGATGACTCACGCTGTCTGGCTTTGGTACGAGGCCGTGATGCGCTGCATATTGAGGGGGCGTTGTCTGTCTGGTCAGCATCTAGTGGAGCTGAGGGTCTCAGTAGATTCCGGACATTCAGTGGTTACTTTCGGGAATCTGACCTCCCTGATAGTACGTAGGTTAATGGCACAAACATGCTAGTTTACGACCGTCAGGCGGAGCAGCCTTTAGGTTAAAGTGAACAGCAGGTGCGGAGAAGCGAAACAGGTAATCCATAAATACACCGGTAAGAAAGTGAACGAAGCAAGAAAGTGAATGACCATGACGATTGATTCGGCACAGGAGGTGCCTTGCCTTTTGGCCGTGAAAATTGTTTACCTGCATCCGGAGGTCTGAGATGCCATAAAAAACCGATTACACTGACATTGCTGGAAAAAGCAGGTAATAGGGTGTTTGAAAGGGCGCAAAAGGCTTGCGTTTTCCACTTCCGAACCCGGTTGGTAAGACGGGAGCAGACAACGGCATGGCAACTTAAGGGGCTACTGTCAAACTAACCGTTCATACCTTCCTTACCCGTTATCCGCTCTGCGGATGATTGAAAACAATACAGGGTGAACCAGGTAACCTGTCCCATCTCGCTGGACTGTCTACTTTTTCTCCACTGTGTGCGACCTGCTTGTGTTGGGTAATGTTGACAGGTCACATGATGTTAGCACAGTTCAATACGATATCTGAAAGTGTGGGTGTTTTGCTTTCAAGTGTTCTCAGCTTCCGGTTCATTTCAACTCCTTATTGGGATTGGCTGAGCAAAACACAAAGTGGTCTGCCTGGCATGAATGTCGTTCGTAGAATACTCGACCGCAGGTGCCTTCGCTTTCCATTGGCTGAGTAATCAAAACTGCTAGGAACGCCAGTATGGATCAGCTGGTACACAACACACTAGAAATTCCAGCTCCTCGTACTGGGCTAAAACACGATCAACTCGACGTCCAGTCATTTTCGTTATAGGGAGTTTATCGGAAGATAGCGTAAAAATGCGTTGTACCTTCAGTCTCTTCAAAGGTACGCCCTTCAACACCACCCCACCAAGAAGTAGGTTTCAACGCTCGTTTGTGTGCAGACACTTAACCGACTTACCCTCTTAGGGGCCCCCAAGTACGCAAACTGCCGCTGTGAAAGGACCCCACAGACTCCTCTGAAACCGAGAACGGGATGCATTTTCCTCCTCTGATTTTCTATTCCACAGCAAGAAAAACTCAGTCTTTTGGAACGATTCATGGTAGTTGTAAGGTGTATAACCAACGTCGGATAATTCGAACATTCTTTGGAGCTACCTGAAAGAAACAAATAGTCTACAATTGTCTTGATTTTGCAACCCTTCTTGGACCAATCTCTCACCTCCGAGTAGGACTGCGCTCGTTAACAAAGTCGGAATGATACCAACCAATCGTGTCGTTCTATCGATGACCAAAATAAGGGCTTCAGTTCACATGCTTATCTTGAAACTTCCTTCACTTCCAGAGCATGCACGGTTTGGAATGATACTTGGAGTTTTCTCATAAGGCTTATCTTCACAGTCAGTTTACGAGCTTCAAAGTCACGCTACTGATTAATCGCTTGCAAGTAGTCTGCGCTACAGATGCGTTAGTGATTCAGAATCATAGAACACAAGCTGTCTCATCTCCGGACTCATAAACCATCTCAAAATGTCTGGTTTAAATAAACTGTCGACAACTTGCTTAGTGGATGTGCGATATAGGATAGTCGGAAATGTACCTAAAAAACGCGTAATCAAATTTCTCGTAATATCATCTATCTCACCTTCGTATCCATTTCTTTCAGTGGTCATCGTGCACAAGTTTGTTTTTGGTACGAAGGGAACGTCGGGTGGACACAGCAACTGTTTTACAACTTCGTGGACAGCGGACCGCGAACAAAGGATGTGGAAAAGTTTCAACTACCGGATGTCTGTCTGACAAACAGAGCGTGTCTCTACCGGCCGTGACCTGATCAGTCGTCTCCAAACCAGTTGAGCACATGACACAGAGGCCTAACTGACTAGATTAGGTTTGAGATATCCTCGATGCTCTCATTCTCATCTACAGTGGACAATGAATTCACTTTCCAGCTTCATTTAATAGCAAGACAATTTTTTCCATCTGAGTGTCTGGCTAGTGGACCAGCTGAGGCACTTGACCGCTGTGCTTACCAATAAATGAATTGCTTCTCGTGGCATGAAACTTCAACCCTCCATCTCTCTTCCAGGAGAACAAACAGCTTTGCAAGTGTATTCAACTTTGAACGATGGAACCACCCGCATCGATTGGTACGATCTTCTGTCGATATTCATTAGTACGGAAGTCTTGCGGGTGATATGGTCGTACTAATTAGAATTGGTTTTGGTCTTTAAAGCACTCTGCACGATTCTCCACCTTTGGAACAATAGGAACGAAGCCAGTTGCTTCCAACCTTATCCATCAGACCAACGTGTCTACGTCCACCTGAACTTCTCAGCTCAAGTTAGTCAACATGAACGGTTGACGTGAAGTTTTGCCTCCAACGTTTTCTACACTTGGTATCGTATTTTTGGCTTACTAGGGTGGAATCATCGGGCGTTGAAAAGCAGGAATCAGCCTCTAGTTCGCCAGTACATCAGCCATAACGCACGTCACTGTCTTGGACAAGTGATTATACTAGCTTGTGACACGACCGTCTGTAAGTGGGCCAAATGGGTAGGGAATACTCAGAATGCCAGAATGAACAGGAGTGTAGCCCTCTAGTCCAAAGTTGATCCAGTCCGTAAAGCTCTTCCTAGGAACAGCAGTACTCGTCCACATAGTTTTAGCAAAACGGCTTCGGCAAGAAACTCAAACACCACATGGTGCAATAGCTGAATCAATTCCTGAATCTCTCATCATAGTAACAAGTATTGATCTTAACAGATAAGGCGGCGTGGCTCAGAAAGGACGCTGAATGCGACTAGGTCATCTGTACGCTTTAGCAGACGGAAACCCGTCAGAATCCACCCACATAAAACCTCATTGGTGACGAATGCAATCCACGCATCAATCAGTTGTGCAACAGACAAGTAACAATATCGTCCTATCGTCTAAATATTTCTTTAGGAGTGTACACCTAGTTTTGTTTACTTAAAACGCTAGACCCCAGCTGTCATACGTAGTGAACAACGACGTTGTCTGGTAAAACAAGAAACCTTCCGAAGTGTCACCACCCTTGTAGACGACTATGTGGATTGACCTTAATGATGGTGCCATTCCTGCTTCACCCGATTTCCACCACCAACCGGAAGGTCCGTGGTTCGAATCTGACCTCCCCTGTCTAGGTTTGGGCACCCTGGCAGTATCCCAGCCCTCGTGGTTCCTTCGGGTGGCATGGCAGCTAGGCACCGGGAGGGTGCTACAGCTGAACGCTTCATTTCTCTTACCAACCATCTCTTCCGACGATCCAGTCGGCCGAATTCTGGGATAAAATTCAGGCAGGCGCAACACAGAGGAGATGAACTCAAGTAGCGAGTCAGTGGCGATCATTGTAGGTGCAATTCGAACCACGCAGCTCACAGCTAGCGGACAACTAACTCCGAACTGTGTATTCGGAGTTGAGTTGCCCGAAAGACCTCGGACAGTCAATTGCCGACCCATTATTACAAAACAGTGTCAAATCACATGACTGGTTCCTCAATATCCACTGATCCACAATGATCCACGGATCATTTTGGACATAGAAAGGCTATAAACTGCATTTCAGTACTACGTTGCTATATCGCTTGCTGCCATTTGTCGTAGTTCTCTTTAGCTTGACAATGGGCTATGAGAAACGCGAATTTCGATAACTAGCCACGGGATACTAGTTGAGATGTTCCCGGTGCACACAACTTTTCATCGAAAAGCATCTTTTTCTGGGAAAGCAAAACGTCTTGATACAACTTCTGGCTGGTCCCTAGAAACTTCTTTTCTAGTAGGCAATACCCAAAAAACATTGCACGTGCGCACAGCCTTTTCTAGGAGCCATAGGCGAGAATTCAAAGCTTCGGCGGTAAGAATTCCCATGTACTCCTTATCACCAAATGTGGATACCATATCTATCACACCTACTTTGTCCACAATTTTGAAGACGAGTAAGTGGTCAAATAACTGTGTCAACTTACAAGAGATCAACAATACGGACTATATCGCCAATCGACAGAGCACGACAAACGAGCGTTCCAGCCAAACTACCCACATCGCTGAGGATCCGTAGAAGCGGAAAATTTCCAACTAACTGTTACCAATTCGACCCGGAGGTGTTGTTTTCCCGGTCCATGGGTGTCGAGGCCCATTTTCTAACATCTTTTCCGTTTGTAAGCGATTTTGTCCTGTTTGTTTGTATCCGTGCCTTTTCATTGGATGCCACCCTCCAAATATCCCAACGATCTAGCTCACTTCAGATGTTTAGACCACGAGCAGACCAACAACCTTTCCTAGTCAACTCATATCAAATAAATCGGGTTTCTAAAAAAAAACAGATATTCATTTTCGATTCCAACTGTCATTTGCTTGCAAGGTTCAGATTTTTTCTCCACCACGAATTCGTGTCTTAGCATCCGACCGAAAACGTCGATGGAACGTGGTAGGTCTTATCTTTACTCCATCGATGCCACACTGAATCATTCTTTTTTTACTTTTCACATTCTAGGACACTTTACTCCCAGTTAACGTGTCCACTCGTCCTGTATGAGTTCTGAGCCTACCAATGTTCCTGTTCTTTGTGTCCTCTCTTCAGTTATCGCATTTACCGGGAGGTCTCCCTACTCGTGAAATTCACTTCCACGAGTGTGCAAAATTCCTTCATCTTAATATCCAAAAGAAATTGATGAGTTAATGTTCGAATGATATAAAAAGGTTGACAAAGTGACTGGGGATACGTTCTGTTTGGCCAGAAACTAGCTAGCTTGGTGTACGTTGGGACTGATCATTTGACTGTCTGTTGTTCGTGATGTGAATCCGTGTACCCACAGAAGGAAGCACCGATTTACTGATACATACATAGAAAAAAATCAGCTGGACGGAAGTGCGAGTCCCCGCAGAATAAAACTTAAATATACTGTCCATTCCGCTTATCTAGTCTAATATTTTGAAGGCTGTGGATTTGGTTTCACAAAGCAGCAATAACCAGACGCACAAAAACAAACCACAAGTGACAAACATAAGCGGTGGGAAGACACAGGCAAGTTAGCAGTACGCAGCTCAGCGGTAGCGGAAATGCGAACGAAAACAACAAGGTTAAATGGTAAACAAATGAGAGTGATCATCACAGTACAGGTTGAAATTGACACAAGGTGTCTGAGGGGCGGGGCATCGCGATCACCATACCGGCCAACGGCCGTAATCAACGTAGCGTGACGAACAGTACGACAGCTAAAGCGACCCCCAAGATAAGCAGGAAAGGAACAAGTGACGCCAGACAGCCCTTCACACTGGTGGGTTGGAGAGAAGAATGAGAAAGATTCAAACTTGCGGCAACCACAAATAGCATAGACCAAAATAGCGGACCAAAAATAAAGCTACATTTAGACATCATCGGGGTCGGAAAGCCACAGAGATGTTGTAGAAAACGTCGAGCATCAGCCAAAATCGAATAGACATTTGCCCATCCTCGAGGTCTGTGTTCGTTTCGTTTTAAATTTCAGTTTTTTGCCAACTACATTCTCACTTATTTTGACTCTAACGTGTTAAAGTTTCTCGGACATGCAAACTAAACAATGTGAGTGCAAAATTGCCGTGGAAAATTTAGCTTTCTAAGCTAGAATGAAGATGAGTAGAAGCATAGATCCCAAGAGTAGTGCTTGGACTGTCAAGCAAGTGATTATCGACGCTCCAGGATTAGATGTTCCTACGGTCAAGGTTTCAAGACTATAGACCTCGGAGTAAAGATGCAAACTTTTCGCTACAGAAAAAAGGAATACGTAGGTTTTCAATGAAATGCAAACGAGTAGAAACTATCCAAAAGCCCCACTGACTTTGGACGGTCAGTGTGACTATGTGGAAGGAACAAAAAGGACATCCTGAAATTCTCTTGGAAACAGCAAAAGGGCAAATGATTCGCCTTGATTCAAATCCAATCAAGACAGTAATACAGTTCGGGTGAGAACAGTGCAGAACAAAACGCTCAGATTTGTGCCAAAGAAGAGCTGTGTTGATGATCGTACATTCCAAACTGCTTGTTTTGGGCACCTAGAATCGTCATATGGATGGAACCAGAATGTGAGTCAGTTGTACTTGAAAAAATGATGACAAACGCCCTACAGTCGGTTTCAGGCACCGTTCCAGTCAGCAGAAGGGATGAACCAAGGATTCTCCATCGCACATATTGTGATAACGGATGAACCCTTGTCGCTTCCAATCGTCATAATAAATAATTGTTCAGCTGTAACACCCTTTTGGTGCCTAGCTGCCATGCCACCCGGGGGAAGCACGAGGGATGAGATACTGCCAGGTTACTCAAGCCTAAACAGAAGTTTAGATACATAGACCGGGTTCGAAACACGTACCCTTCGCCTTACCAACTGAGCTATCTCAAGCTCAATAAAGTCAAGAACTCTCAAGGGACTTGTAAAAACCCTCCCATCAACTGGAGACATACCATGTTGGTTGATTCAGTCAGGCTAATTATTAATACTAACCGTTCAGCTGTGGCACTGTTTGAGGGGACGAACCCTCCATAGAGAAAAACGGACAGATGTCCAGTGTAAAAGTACACAATTCTTTTCCAACCACCAATGCACTACATGGCTCACTTGACGTATCTTGCACGGGAGAAGAACAGCAAGGTCACACTGAACATGTTCCAGTTGGACCGACCTCGATAACGCATTCCATTTAGCGCCCGAGCCACGTGACTGTGGCAGTTGTCACAAAACAAATTGTGCTGATTAGGGGAAAAGGCATGTAGGAGATGACTTTCAGGCGTAAAGGATCACGAGGAAAACATTAGAAAAAGGTAATTGCGTGAAAAGTTTCACTACACCGTACGCCCATTCAACCGTTCAGCGATGACATCTCATCGTCCAATGAGGAGAAAACGGTTGTAACCAAACTGTCAGGCTCAGAGAACAGATCAACAGATAAAAACGACAGATAAAACGACTATGTCTTAGGGTGGACGATATGTGGAACAGCGCCAATAAGTTCGTGGGATAGCCAGCTGGAGATACGTTAATCCGCTGCACATACACCTACTTATAGTACGTTCGATAGTGTGCTAAATAGAGTTGATTCCAAAATAAACAACCTGATGACGTCTCAACTTGTTCTGAGTTTAAACAACCCTTCCAGAGCGATAGGATCAGAATCGAAACTATCGAGTGCCCAAACGTTTTCTGCCCTGCGTACTTTGGATAAGAGGATTGTCACATTGTGAAATTGTCCGGAGGACAGCCGTCCCTAATAACCGAACATCACATCATTTGGGTGGATGTGTCACGTGCAGGCTACGGACCAAACGGAGGCATGCTCTGATTAGTCATAAGCCAGCCAATCTGGATCGAGCATCTTTAGCCCGACGCTTCTCACCTCTCACGGAGATTCTAGCACGACCTTGTGGAACATTCCGTGATCACCCTTAAGATACAGTTGCAATAATTTTCTTTCGTCTCCATAAAAGGCTGTCTGAAGGTGCCGTGCCTTCTGATGTCGGAACTGGAAGCCAAGGGACCGAAACCAAGTTCCACGATCGCCCAGCAAGCCAAAACAGAGATGAACCACTGGAGGTTGTGAACAATTTTATTAGCTCTGACGGAACTGAGTCTGATGAAGTTAGTGCAAGAATTCCAAAGGCCCGAATCATACTTTCCAATTTGTGTAATGACAAAAAGGTATACCACTAGGTCTCTAGGGTCGCATGTACCAGGCTATGGTAAGGGCTGTATTGTTGTATGGTTTCGGGCAAATGATGCAAGGCGTCTTCATGTTATTTTAACACCGATATCTTAGAAGCGTTGCTGGTTTTGGATGGCGTCAACGCATTGGTAACCAGGTTATCATAAAACTGGTATTTGGTTGTATAGCAGGCACTTCACCCGCGGAAAACATATAGCACCATTGACTACGATGGCGCGGTCATGCTTTATGCATGCCAAAACACCGACTGCCGAAGCAAATGTTGTCCTATGTGCCTCCGTCAGAATGGTGGAAACCGCGAGGTGGACAACGTAGGACTTAGCAGAAGGGTGCTGTACGTCTTCTAGAATGGGCACCCGTGACCCAGTCTGCGTTCGGCTGAAGACATAGCAAAAATGGCGGTTGATCGGTGTCAGTGATATTCGTGAATTCAGTTTTTTTTCAGATTGTCAGACTGAACGATTGGAGGAATAAGCATCTCGGAATCCTTGACATAAGCGAGAACTAAGTCCCCTCCCCTATCCACTCTTTCTCTTTAAACACGACTAGATGAACTTTATGGTTGCGCGGCAGTGTCAACACTGATGTTGCTGTCTTTGAGGATGATGATACTATCGTTCAGCTGTAACACCCTTCCGGTGCCTAGCTGCCATGCTACCCGAAGGAAGCACGAGGGCTTGGATAGTGCCGGGTTGTCAAAGCCTAGACAGGGGAAGTCGAGAGGCAGAGGTCGGGTTCGAATGATGATACTATGAAGTGATACATAACCAAGACACACCATGAACTCACGTCGACCGATTTTCACAAGGCCTGGTGTTGGGTTATTACACGGGTAGCATAATCCTTCTAACTGACAAACTAGCCAGTAGACCACCAACCCATTGGCATCGATGTAGACTTATCGAGTTTCACATACAAGCTGTTAATCAGGAATCCACACGGATCCCGCTATACCGCACGTCTTTAGGCGCTGCTACGGCCGATAAGCCTGGCCCGCACGAGGTTGGCCCAGAATTCGGGGCGCTTGCCGGTCCGGCATCAAGACGAGATCTGATTGGCCAATAATCTGGACCCAACAGCCAATCATGACCCAGTATTGGCCAAATGCCGGTTGCCAATGGTGCTCCAGAACGCGTCAGAAATTCCAGAAAGTTATAGC